GAAGGGGAGGGGGTGGGGGAGGGGGAGGAGGAGGAGGAGGAGGAGGCTGACTTTCATTAATATCTTACAGTTAGAATCACAGCCAGCAGCAACGTCTTTTAGGGTCCAGAGCACTTTCACCCCTGAATTCTTCTAGGGAGACTGGTACCCAGACTCTCCTTGGATGTCCCAATTTGCAGATGCTGAGGTCCCGTCTATAAATGGTATTGATTTGGATATGACCTAGGCAATTCTCCTGTGTTCTCTATTTCGTCCCACACGAGTTACGAAACTTAGTCTCAGGTAAGTCCCTGTCACATCATATTATTAGGGGCTAGAGACAAGAGTAAGATCGTGTTTGGTATACACTTTCCTCCCAAATATTTTCCACTTGTGTTTGGCTGAATCCACTCGTGTGAAGCCAACGGAGGCAGAGAGCCCATAGCACAGAAGAATGGCTGTCTCCACTGTGCCCCTGCAGAGGCTCAGGGGGTCAGGAGTCACAGGGTCTGCCCTCCTGAGCAGAGCCCGCCGAGTCTGGCCTGGCTTTGGTGCTTCCACATTCAGGGTTCCTTGGCCTGTGTGTCCCTAACTGCTCACTTGTGTTGATAGTGCACACGGAGAATTCTGAACTGAGTCATGGTGTGATAAAAGGTACAGCCTGAAAAAAAGAACCAGAGAAAGGGAGGGCAAGGGAGAAGTGGGGCAAAGACAGGGCCAGAAGTTAAGGACATATTGCCAGAAGAGAGGGCTGGCCACAGTGGGGGGTGGTCACAGATGAGGGCTGACAAGAACTTGTGGAGTGACAGTCCCTCCCACAACCACAAGGCCAGGCCATGCAATCCTTTCCTAGCTGGGGGGGTGTCCCCCCCAGCTGTCCCCTCTAGCTGCCCCCTCTCTAGGTGTCCCCTCCAGTTGCCTCCTCTCTGGGGCCAGCAAGCTTCCAGTGAAGACTTTATATCCCCTGGAGATGCTTATGCTCCTTGGGTTACTGGTCTGAAACTCAGGGCCCCACCCTGCAGGGCCTGATGACCTGGGGCCCTGTCTAATGTATCCCATGCAGGTTGCAAAGCTGGTATTTTAAGGACGTGGAGCGACTCTGAGATCCTGCTGGGTCACCCTTTCATCTCACAGATGAGGCCCCATCAAGGACTAAGCCAGCTCTGGGGAGATGAGCTTCCCCCACCAATGTGACCTCTCAACTCTGGACAAAGAAACCTAAGCACTCACCCATCTGGCAGTCAGTACAAGCCTGGGTCAGGAAGAAGCTGAGTCCCTCCCTCTGGGGCACAGCAAGCAGTCTCTCATTTCAGAACCCTGCCCTGGGTCACCTGTCTTCACCTCAATAGC